TAATCCAAATGAAAAAAAAATAACGAACGCTAGAGAACGAACGAAACCGAGCAGTCAAAAAAAACCAAACGTTCGTTCATAACCGAACGCTTAGAAGAAAGAGAAGGTTTGGCCACAAATGATCAGACGAAAACTGAACGACTAATCAGCAAGGAAACCAACTAAATAAATTAAAAGTTGGTCTAACTGACAGTTACTGGTTAAGAAGGAGAGCATAGAAACTTTTCCAAGTGATTGATGGAGAGTATCAAATATCGTAGGTTTAGGCAAAGACTGGATTTCTTGGTCATTGGAGAAAACGAGACTTCATTTCTGACCCCTAATTGATTCAAAACCCGCGTACGTTTTAGAGGCAGAATTACAGTTCACCTAACTACAATCCTTTCTACCCTTACGTTCAACTATTTGGTTTCAGAATCTAAAACTGATCGATTCAGAGATGTACGTGCGTCCAGATCTTCATGGTTTTGGATTTGTCTTATCCGCCTGACCGTTCGTCCCTAACTAAAATCTTTTCTTGGTTCACTTCCTATCGGTTCTACCGAACGGTTCACTCTCTACTCCCAACTGAGGCCCCTACTAACGCTTGTATCTTCACTTATAATACTAAAGTCCCATTCTAATTCATCCTTCTTGCATGCCAGAAAACGAGCGTACGATGTTAATCTAACACCTGGCATTAGTGCAAAAGAGACTCAACTTTACTCTGAGTAGATAGCCTTGGCGCCTCTTCAGGAGAACGTACTATTTCTGTTTGGCTACTCCCTTGCTACCGAACGGTCTAACTTAATAGATACCGAATGCAGACATCCCATTCACGTGAAGTGTCTCCTAAGTTAGTCAATTCTAGAAAACAACACTCACTAAAATAATAATTAACATCTATCTCACAGGTTAGACATCCAAACTAACTCAATTGCTGATGTTTACACCACCAGATCAAACGGCTCCCTTATCACAACAATTAAAACGACGCACGGCAAGGCAGTTCATACGATAAGCAAGTGCGGTTGATGAGTGTACCTGATCTAGTAGCTTCAGCGCCCGTGATTGCGTACACTCTCCCCACTGGCTGCGCTCGTCCACCTTTCCCTTGTTGTGCTCTCCCAACGTTTGGCGGCCTCATTGCCGCTCGTCCTCCCATGTTGCACTCATTCTCCCAATGTCCGTTTCTTCTGCAACGGTTGCAATATTTTCCCCCCGCTAGTTGAGGGCATGACCATCGGTAGTGTGGTCCTCCACACTGAAAACAGGTCACGTTTCCTTGCTGCCCAGTCTGTCCGACAGCAACCACCGCCTGAGATCCACTTGGTTTTGATGATTCGGCTGGACGAACGTAAGGAGTCCTTCTCACATTCAAATTATTTCTATTCAAAACCGGTTCCCTAGCTGCTTGCTGTTGCTTCTTCTGTTGCTCTACTTCTGCCACATTCTTTTCCAACACTTTGGCTCTCTCAACCATGGCAGGAAACGACCTAATGCACAGGCTGGATATTAGTAACTTCAAATCACTCCTAAGCCCATTCTCAAATTTCCTACACTGCCACTCTTCGCTTGTAGCCATGGTATTGAAACGAACCAGATGCTTGAACTTGTTGGTGTACTCAGAGACCGTCATACCACCTTGTACCAACTGGAGAAACTTTACCTCTTTGGCAAAACGGACGCTATCAGGAAAATACTCCTCATAGAACTTGCTCCTGAAAACTTCCCAAGAGATTGGACTTTGAGCGTCCGCTAAAATCATCTTAATACTCGCCCACCAGTGACTGGCCTCTCCAGTTAGCAGATACTCAGTGAATGCCAACCTGTTGTCGTCCGGGCACCTCTTAGCATCATATATCCGTTCCATATCCCTTAGCCATTGATCGGCCTCATCAGGAAAACATTTCCCATTGAATTTAGCTGGGTGATGTTGAAGAAAACTCTCCAAGCTCCACTCGGCCTGATGATTTGCAGAGGAAGTGGACGCTCCAGGTGTGCTCCTCGTGGCACCGATGATCTCCATTAGCTGTCTCTGGGTCGCTTCAGAGTTTGCGCGAGCGGCCTCCAAACTTTGTAAAGCAACCGCGTTCTGCTCCATCAAGATGGTATTCTACTGTTGTAACCTTTCTATTACCGATTCCAACAACTTGGTGTTGTCGGACGCATCACGCTCGGTAGGTTGAGGTGGAGGAGGGGGTCTGGGTGCCATTAGTTCTCTGAGAATCAGAGAAAACAATCATTAGTTAAACTTAAGGAGTTTGAATCACGCATCAAACGAACGTTGAGCACACAGCACAAGCATAGTATGCTCATAACCTACAGTGTTCCTTAAGGAACAAAACTGCTCTAATACCACTAATGTAACATCCCAAATATACAGTCATCAACTATATAATAGAATAATCACATTTAATAATAATTCAGTA